GCATGAGTTCAGTCAACCAAAATTCTGTTAATGTACAAAATGGTAATTGCGTATTTGGTGAAAATGTTTTGATTCCTAAGGTTTCAGTTACCTCTGTGATAAAGCCAACATTATCAATTTAGCTGTTGTCAATTTTCAAATTAATATTTCTTTGATCCAGTAGTAGCCTAATTTTTATTGAAACCCAAGACACAGAGGAATATGGATGAAAAATTTACTATACAGGGATATGTAATTAATTTTATATTTGAAACATTTATTTCATTGCAAATAAGATGCTCATTATATTAATCACCTTGAAGCTTTTCTGTTTGTTGCTCATATGGTTTGGCTATGTCCCCACCCAAATATGATCTTGCATTATAGTCCACATAATCCCCACGTGTCTCAGTAGGGACCCAGTGAGAGGTAGTTGAATCATGGGGACAGTTACCTCCATACTGTTCTCATGATAACGAGTGGGTTCTCAAGAGATCTAATGGTTTTTCTAAGGGGCTTTTCCCCCTTTGCTCGACACTTCTCCTTTCTGCTGCCATGTGAGGAAGGATATGTTTGCTTCACCTTCTATCACGAAGCTAAGTTTCCTGGGGCCTCCCCAGCCCTGTGGAATTGTGAGTCAATTAAACCTCTTTCCTTTATAAATTACCTAGTCTTGGGCAGTTCTTTATAGTGGCATGAGAACGAACTAATACAGAATTTTTAATTTTTTTATACAATTTGAATAGAACATTTGATTTGTGCTTCACTATTTTTGTAGTCCGGACCCTATGCAATCCACACAATTACAACACTGCTATAGCTTATTAGTTTTACACTTAATAGGAGATTCACTAGGGTGATTTGAATTATACATCAAGAAGAATGGAATCTTTTGGCATATTTTGTAGAATTTTTTTAAATTAGCATTATTCAGAGGTATTGGTTTATTGATTTGCTATTACGATCTTCCATACATTGATTTTATAATTTTTTCATACCGAGTCTGCCATACCCTGTGACCTTCAGTATAAACTACTGTGTGGCTTTGCATAAGAAAATGAGAAACTTGTTCTCAAAAATTAGCCCATATCATGGTGGCATGTGCTAGTCCATGCTATAGGTGGCATAGGCCTGTAGTCCTATCTGAAGTGGGATGACTGCTGGAACCCAGGAATTTGGGGTTACACTGAGCTATAATCTTTCTAGTGTGCTCCTGCCTGAGCTACAGAGTGAGAGCCTGTCTCTAAAAGAGAATAAAAGCTCATAAGAACAGAATATGTGTTAGTTATCAGATGAATTGGATCTTGACTGATCAGATTTTATGTGTAATAGGAAGCATAATAAACATTGTAATGCATTGAGTTAAGGAGAAGACATATGCATATGCAGAGTGATAAATACTTACAATACTGTATTTCAATTGACTAGTAGTAAAGATATCAGATTATTTCTAAACAAATGTCTTTGAAAATGTTTTCACTTCCTATTTATTCCAATAAATGATACTTTAATTTTAATAGGGCTTCATTAATGCAGCTTCATTACATGACTTAAAAAATTATGCATCATAAAACTGCAACTGTCACTTCTTTATTGAAGTAAATGGCAATTATAGATTGATGCATGACAGTTACTCAACAAACATTATGCCAACACTGTGAATTTTATGGTGAGTTCTGCTGACCTTTAAGCTCTTCAAATATCATCTAGTTATTGGGAATTCTCTTTTACATTTAGCCAGATATTTCAGGTTTATATTTAGTACTTAAATATTTGTTTTAGGATTATAAAGGAGATATTAAAATATGTGTGTATGTGATAATGTAGCATGTTTTGGTATTGTTCTTATGATAAATTTTAGTAATATTTATGAAACTCAAACAGGAGATTTTTTTTCTTTAAAAGATATCTTCCTTAATTTTGTTGTAAAAGAAGCCTAGTTGTTTCTATTGTTTTAATTTACTAATTAAAATATTTGATAGTAATTAACTCAGAAAATAATGTTAAAAACTCAATTTTACTCAAAGTAATAATTTATGCAAACATATTTTTTATTATTGAATTTGTGTAAGTAAAAATAATGATACCCAAAATGTTGTGTTTAAATTTATTAACTAATAAATTTAATCACACAATATTTAATAGGCTGAAAACAATATTCTTGTTAAAAACAACCTTAACTATGAGATACATTCATCTTTTATATTATACAAATTACATTTTTAGTTACACATTAGTCATATTGTATACCTAGTCATTCATAATATGATATTTCGTTGGATTATTTTAATTATTTTAAAATTATTAAAATTATTTTAAAAATTCATTCCAGTAGTAATGATTCACATAAACTATAGTATTTCAGGTAACAAGGACTATGCTGATCTGTTTACTACAAACATCTTGGGCTGTGTGGATGCTTTAAAAATGTCAGTGATAAACCTTTTAACCTTAATTAAAAATTACTCTGAAATTTAGAGATACATTTGAAGATGGACCTTTACCTTATGCAAAAAAGTCCTTATAATGAATGCATTTCTTAGTGGTTGTCAGCATATAATATTATATATATATATATATATATATATATATATATATATATATATATACTGTCTTGCAGTGGGAAAATGGTTCCTTTTCTGGACTGTTTTCTCATATGATGAATTAAAGAAATTCTTTATATTCAGTCTTAAAAGTTTTATGTTAAATATGCTTATTGTTTTGAATTTTAAGAAAAATTAATCAACATTTGACTTTGGTGGCTAATAAACCAATTTTCACTTTTCAATTGAGAACTAAAGGTCTTGAATAGATTGTTAAAATGTGTTTGTTTTCTTTTTTATTGTTGTCACATCCCTTGTTTTGCTGCTTTTGTTCGTACCTTCCATACTCTTAGAAATAAGTCCAGACCCATTACATTACTTATTTTTCTGACATTCTTAGTCACCAAATTAGAAAGGATGATTATCACTAAGCTCTGGACAACACTGAAATTACAGTCTTTAAAAATGAAAAGACTTTCAACCATTTGACACAGCAATCCCATTACTGGATATTTACCCAAAGGATTTATAAGTCATACTGTTATAAAGAGACATGCGCACATATGTTTATTGTGGCACTGTTCACAATAGCAGAGACTTGGAACTAACCCAAATGCCCATCAATGATAGACTGAATAAAGAAAATGTGGCACATATACACCATGGAATACTAGGCAGCCATAAAACGAATGTGTTCATGTCCTTTGCATGGAAAAAGCTGGAAACCATCATTCTCAGCAAACTGACAAGAAAAGAAAACCAAACACTGCATGTTCACACTCCTAAGTGGGTGTTGAACAATGAGAACACATGGCCAGTGGGAGGGGAATATCACACACTGGGGCCTGTCAGAGGATGGGGGTCTAGGGGAGAGAGAGCAGTGGGTAGTGGGATTGGGGAGGGATAGCATTAGGAGAAATACTTAATGTAGATAATGGGGTGATGGGTGCAGCAAACCACCATTGCATGTGTATACCTATGTAACAAATCTGCATGTTCTCCACATGTACCCCAGAAAAATTAAAAAACAAAAAAGTAAAGAGGATACATTATTACTTCTCTATTTAAAGCAGTCTTTCTTTTTTTTTACTTCAGTATATTTAAAAACTCTACACTTAAATATTATGAGTTGATTGTTAATTCTAATTAATAAAAATTAGAATGATTGTATGTGTATGTATGTGTGACTCTGTGTGTGTGTGTGTGTGTGTGTGTGTGTGTTTCTTATCATTGAAGTAGAATCCTCATTTAAAAGATGGGAAGTTGCAAAATTCTGTTTAGAAGACCAATCCTTCCCTTTATGAAAACACTATTTAAAAAAAAATTTATACTTCAGCTTGTATTACCATTAACTTACATTGCATACAGATGAAACACTTTGTGATGAGAAATAAATGTGCCATTTGTCAATGACACTTCAAAATATTGTACAATGCTCTCTTATTGATCCTTATTACTGCATAGAAACATTACCTTCACCTCTACTTTTCTATTCTGCCTTATTACTTCTATCTAAGAATTTCATGTCTTTGGTTATATAATATTCTAATTTTATTCAAAATAGATTTTTAACAAGTTCAAAATGTTTATCTTTTAAGCTTTTATCCATAATGCATATTATTAAGTAATTCATAAAATACAGATGTCATCAGGAAATCACTTATTAATATTGCCTTTAAAATCTTACAGTGAATAAACTTGTGAGTCATCTGCCCAGATCAATACGTTTTTGGGTGTTTATAAACATAAAATTATTTTGTTTAAAAATAGACTTTGCTACTTGTTCCAGATCAAGCATGATTTTACAATGTTTCAAGAAAAGCCAATAATGCAAGGCTTGAATTTACCTAGATAATAATGACAATAATCTCTAATCCCTTATATTCTAATTGTGAGAAATAATATAAAATGTAGGTGAAGACAGCAGTATTATAGAAAAAGTTTCTTAAACCATGATAAGAATAATTTTATTAGGCCATTCTCATGCTAGTGTCTGCTGATTTGGGGTTTTTCCTATTAGATTTTACATACAAGAATTTGGAGACAGAGCAACCTGTTAAGTCAAAAACAATGTCTTTTTTTGCTCTACATTTATAGTAGATTGCATGAAAGAAACTGTTATGTCAATAGAGAGCTGTACTTAGCCATCACAGGTGACCAAGCTAGAAAATCTACCGAGTTACTGCAAAATGTGAAGTTCAACAACACATTTCTTTTACAGAAAGGACCAATCATTACTTCCCAGGAAGCCAACATATTGTATAAGCTTGGTCCAATTCTATAAAAATGTATTAAAAAGGACAAATTTCAAGGAGCACCAGTCCTTGTCTATCTGAATTATTACATTTTTTTGTAAAGTGAAGTTGAAAATATATTGCAATATGTTACAATTTACATTTAGTTAGGTATGTTAACATAATATTGTAGAAATCAGAGAAAATATGTATTGTGTCTAACTTTATTAAAATCTCTTTTTAGCTTTCATTCCTGGACTAAAGAAAGGTACAGTAGAAATCAACACAAACCATAATCATGTTGCATGTTTCATTTTCAGATGAATTGCTGATTTGTGTTTAAGAACTTTTTACCTTTTTGCTTTTCATAAAATATCAACTGTTTGCTTAAAACACGTTTTTAATACATTTAAAACATCTGAAATATAGGAAGGGCATTCAGTCAGTTGGATATCTTATAGATCTGAATGCTTTTTCTAAGTTGTGTGTCATCAGTCTCTAGATAGTAAAATAAATGTGACCCTATAGTTATTTATTTGGCTTAAAGTAGTTGCTTTCAAATTACCTACGAATCTAATTTTTCATTTTTCTCCTCTGATAGTGTCAGCATTTTCAATATCTTGTTTGAGTACCCCTTAAAGATATAATTATACTTTTCTGCATTCTATTACAATTTGATCCATAAATTGTATATGTTTTCTAAATTACTAACAAAATAAAGTTTACATTGTTTATAAACTTGGAAATAATATGTAATATGCATTTTCTTTGCCAAATTTTAACACATAGATTATGTGTAATCTTGTAATAAGGTTGACAGAAAAGATTTCTAAAACCATAGAGTTTAAGCAATCAGATATATATATATATATATATATATATATATATATATATATATATTTCTTGTGCTGATAAAATTTTAAAATGCTGTAGGATATAGTGAATGTTCCAAATATATTTGCACTCATCGTGTATATGCACACATTTCTTTATTGTCCGCTTTACATTTTGCTATGGTTCTGTCTTATTGTTCCACTGCTCTTTATAACAATATTTATTTTACTCATATGCTTTTATTTGAAACTGCAATGTATAATACACTTATGTTTTGATGAAATAGAAATAGCACTTAAAGAATAAATTTTCTTGAAATCAGTCATAAACCTAAATTGTTATGTCAAGAAGAAATTTACCTTTAATCTTTAATTTTGACATATTAGCAATATTAATGACATACTTTATCAATTTTTGGTATTTTAAATGTTGTGAAATGTTGCTTTTGACTTTTTACATTGTGTTTGGGTAGTTCTCCTGTTCTATAATCAGTCCTAATGACCATGATACATTTTTGGCTATCATCTAAATAATGACATTTCAAGCTGAATATTTTATTCCCTTTGAGAAACTTGAAAATTCAGTTTACATGCGTAATTCAGTACGCAGGTTAAAGTAAATGCGTTGTATGTGCCTTTTATTTTGTCTCCTCCTCATTGGTTTCTTGGCATCCTCTGATACTCTTCAGGAAAAACAGATAATTAGTTGTTGTGGGGACTCATTTGTGTTTGTAATACATCGTCAAGGTGTTGTGGTCCTAAGTATTCATGGGTATAGTGGAAGGAGCATTTGAACGTGAGTCAGTTCATCTTGAGTTGTGATGACAGTTCTACACCTGACTAGATGCAAACATTTAACCAAGACATTTAAACTCACAGGATCTCTACTTTTTTTGTTTCCCTCACTTAAAAAATTGCAATATTTGTATGTCTCTGAATTATAATAGCAGTGATAATAATAAAATAATAATAAGAAGAATGATAATAATAATGGTTTAGCCTACTTGATCGTGATGGATAAGCTTTTTGATGTGCTGTTGCAATTGGTTTGCTGGTATTTTATTGAAGACTTTTGCATCTATGTTCATCATGGATATTGGCCTGAAGTTTTCTTTACTTGTTGAGTCTCTGCCAGGTTTTGGTATCAGGATGATTGTTGGTCTCATGAAATGATTTGGGAAGGATTCTCTCTTTTTGTATTGTTTGGAATAGTTTCAGAAGGAGTGGTACCAGCCTAGGTTGTCTTACAGGAATTTTATGATTTGGGGTTTTATGTTTAAGTCTTTAATCCATCTTGAGTTTATTTTTGCATATAGTATAAGGAAAAGGTCCAGTTTCAATCTTCTGCATATGCCAGTTATGCCAACACCATTTATTGAATAGGGAATCCTTTCCTCATAGCTTTTTGTTGTTGTTGTTCAGGTTTGTGAAAGATCATAGAGTTGTAGGTGTGGGGTCTTACATCTTGGTTCTCTGTTCTGTTCCATTCATCTATGTGTCTGTTCTTGTACCAGTGCCATGCTGTTTGGTTCCAATAATCCTTAGTGTAGTATAAAGTCAGGTGGCATGATGCCTCTGGCTTTGTTCATTTTGCTTAGGATTACCCTGGCTACTAGGGCTATTTTTAGGTACCATGTGAATTTAAATATTTTTTAAATGTTATTTCTGTAAAGAATATCATTGGTAATTTAATAGGAATACCATTGAATGTATAAATTGTTTTGGGCAGGATGACCATTTTAATGATACGATCATTTCGATCCATGAGCATGAAATGTTTTTCCATTTGTTTGTGTCATCGATGATTTCTTTGAGTAGTAGCTGATAACTTTCCTTGTAGGGATTCTTCACCTCCCTGGTTAGTTGTAGTCCGAGGTAGTTTATTCTTTTTGTGGCAAGTGTGAATAGGCATTTGTTTGTGGCTCTCAGCTTGACTGTTGTTGATATATGGGAATGCCAGCAATTTTTACACATTGTTTTTGTATTCTGAGACTTTGGTGAAGTTGCTTATCAGCTTCAGAAGTTTCAGGGTTGACATAATGGAGCGTTTTTAGATATAGGGTTATGTCTTCTGCAAACAGAGATAATTTGACTTCTCCTCTGCCGGAAAATTATTCTTATGGCTTAGAGCTCAATATTTGTTACAGATTTGTTCAGATTTAGGATTTCTTAATGGTTTAATCTTGATAGTCTGTATATGTCTAGGATTTGTCAATTTCTTCTAGATTTTTTCATTTATTGGCATATAGTTGCTAATAATGGCCACTAATCATCTTTTGAACTTCTGTATTAGTTGTAATGTCTCCTTTTACAGCTCTGATTTTATTCAGGTCTTCTCTCTTTTCTTTTATTCTGGCAAAGGGTTGTCAATTTTGTTTAACTTTTGGCAAAACAAATTTTTTATTCCATTGATCTTATGTATTTATGTTTTTGTTTTGATTTCATTGATTTATCTTCTATTATTTGTTATTCTTTTTCTCCCACTAATGTTGGCTTTTGTTTACTCTTGCTTTTCTAGTTGTTTAAGATGCATCATTTGATTGTTTATTTGAAGGGTTTTTTTGTTTTTTACTGCAGGCACTTATAACTGTAAAATTCCCTCATAGTACTGTTATTGCTATACCTTGCGGGGTTCATTATGTTGTGTGTTCATTATAATTTGCTTCAAGAATTTTTCAATTTTCTTTTCAATTTTTTTCATTAACACCCTGATCATTCAGCAGCATATTGTTTAATTTCTATGTGAGTGTATAGTTTCCAAAATTCCTCTTGTAATTAATTTCTGGTTTTATTCCATTGTGGTTAGAGAAAGTGCTCGATAATTTTTGATTTTTTAAAATGTTTTTAAGAATTGTTTTTTTTGACCTAACATGTGGCCTTTTCCTGAAAATGATCTATTTGCTGAGGAGAAAAATGTGTGTTCTGTAGCAGATGGTTGAAATTTTCTGTAAATATTAGGTTTCTTTGTTCTATAGTGAGTATTAAGTTCAATTCTTTGTTGTTGTTGTTGATTTTCTGCCTGAAATATCTAATGCTGTAAGTATAGTGTTGAAGTCACCTCCTATTATTGTGTTGGGGCCTATCTCTATCTGTAGCTCAGTAATGTTTGCTTTATATATCTAAGTGCCATATATATATATATATATATATATATATATATATATATTTATAATTGTTATATCCTTCTCTTGAATTGACCTATTTATCATTATATACTGACTTCCTTTGTCTATAGTTTTTATCTTAAAATATAATTTGTCTGATATAAGTCTAGCTATGCCTGCATTGTTTTTTTTTTTAGTTTTTATTGGCATGGAATATCTTTTACCATCTTTTCATTTGCAATCTATGAAAGTCATTAAATGTGATGTTTCTTGTAGGCAATAGATTATATGATATGTTCTTTTTATCCATTCATCTTCTCTATGTCTTTCGATTAGAGAGTTTAGTTGTTTTTACATTAAATGTTATTATTAAAAAACAAGGGCTTGTTCTAGCCATATCGTTATTTGTTGTCTGTTCATTTTATGATCTTCTTTTCCTTCTTTCCTTTCTGCTTTCTTTTGGTTAAGATAATTTTCTCTGGTGATGCAATTTAGTTTTTTTGTTTTGTTTTGTCAATTGGTTGTCTGTTTTTTGATTTGACGTTACCACGAAACTTGCAAATACTATCTTATAACACATTATTTTCAGCTGATAATAATTTAACACTGTTTACATCAACAAACAAGCATAAAACCATAAAGAAAACTCATAAATATTCTACACTTTATCTTTATTCTCCTACTTTTTAACCTTTCGGTTTTTCCATTTGTATATTGTTGTACTGCACTGGGGCAGTGGCTTGGTAAAGGTGGGGCTGGTGGGCTCTGTGCCCACCAAGGCTCTGGCTGCAATGACCCTGCAGTGGGGAGAGGGGAGGTGGAGTGAACTCATGCTGGCAGCAGTGGCAGGGCAGGGTTTACACACACACACACACACACACACACACACACACACAGCACTGACGGAACAGGGAATGCAAAACCACCTGCATACACACTCACCAGCAAGGCAATATGGGGAGTAGCTGTGGGCCTGGGGGTAGATGTAGTGGGGGTAAGCAGTTGATGGGGTGTACATGGCCATGGGGCCTGCTCTGCTGGGGCTCTCTGCCAGTGAGATGCAGTCCACCAGGGCAGGAGCTTTGATGCATGTCCCCAGGGCACCTCAGAGGTTGCACTGTAAGGAGGTACAGTCAGGCTGGGTCTATGGGACTAGCCCGCTATACCAAGGGGTGCTCAGATTGGACCATCCCCTTCTGATAGGCAAGACTTCCCTGCAGAGTTCAACTATGACAGTTCCCCTAGGGCTAAATTCTCCTATAGAGCAAGTCGAACCTGAGGGGTGAGTGTCATCGACCATGCTGTGCCACAGATGTTCCTGGACCAAACCC